TTCCCCTCACCTTTCAGTTCCGGTTGAGCAGTGTTCAGAGCAACACTGGAATCTCCACAAGCTTTCAATAAACCTGTTAAGCCTTTTCCCTGGTCTCTCTGTAATGGTTTCTCTGCATTTGGGTCTGATCTTTAGTTAAATCATGACAGAAATATGTGTATCCATTTGGATTTATGGTTAGTATAATTGATTACTTTTGCACAAAGGTTCTTTTTGGCAAAGCTTTTAAGGGATCCATCAGAGGACACTTTTAAACAAGTTGGTGTTTTAACCTCAGCTAACGTCATTAGCGTTAGCTCATGATAGCCAGGCTCTACAGCCTAAACATTGAACTCCCTCTGATTCCCATTTGATTCCTCATTTTCAATGTTGTCATTCTAAACCTGCAGGATTCCAAGCTGTTTTTAACACATTTCTCCTTTGATCTGCAGCCAAAAACTTCCCAACATCCCAGGACTGTCTGAACCTTTGCAGCGTGCCGTTTAGAGGTGTGTCCAATCAGAGGCCTGTTATTATTTATCCCGTCTACTTGGTGAGATTATCTGTTGTGACGGTTGAAGAAGTTTTAAAGCATCATGTAGAAAGCAGCTCTGCCAAGTTGATTATCTGATAAAATTACGTAGTGAATTTACAGCCAGTTTATATAAGCTTATTTAAATCATCTACAGCATTAATTTGGCCTGTTCAAAGAAAAAAAAAAAAGCAACACCCAAATTTGGTTTAAAAACGTTAAAAGTTCACCACCAAAATATTTCCAAGTATTTTTATGATATTAGAATTAATGTTTTTTGATAATTATCTGATTTGGTCAAATTTAAGTTAAAGAAATTAAAGATTTAATGATGACATTTTCCTTTTCTGAGCATTTGTTTTTATACTTCCCTGCTGTCTTTGGCCCCATTAACCGTATGTTAATGTATCCAATGTATGTACCTAAGGAGCAACAGATATATTTTAATTTCTAAACTGTCTCTGTGCAGCACGCTTAAGTTATCCTTTTTTTAAACTTCATGTTTCCAGAAATATGTTTTCAGGTTAATTGATTCTGCAGGTTCAGCAGTAATCAGGCTTATATGTAACACTGGTATCAGCTTTCTATTAACTCTTAAGTATATTCAGCAAGATTGAAATATTTATGGATATACATGTATATCATGTATTTTTAATCTAAAATAATGTCGGCACCTAATATAGAAATCAAAGAGAGAACATTAGAAATTATTTTTGAATGGCTTATACATTATCTAGTAATTAAGGAAACGGTTATTTCTCTAAAGGTTTCAGTTTGTTCATGTTAATAACAGATCTTCCTCATGCTCAAAGGTTACCTGTGGAGTACCACAGGGATCAGTGCTAGGACCAATTCTCTTTACTTTATACATGCTCCCAATCTGTAGAATTATTAGACAGCATGGGATTAATTTCCACTGTTATGCTGATGATACCCAGCTATATCTGTCTGTAATCTGTTACAAAGATTATAGACATTTCTAAGGACATAGAACCCTGGATGATTCTAAACGTTTTGCTTCTTAAAGCAGACCAACAGAAAGTCTTAATTAAATCAGTGACATTATCTAGATGGAATTGAAATGGTCTCAGATAATCATGTAAAAAATGGTGTCCATGCATTTGTTACTTTAAGGCTGGAATATTATAATATCAGAATTCTAGAAATCAATAATAGAATTTAAAATGTTCTTTCTTACATTTAAAACAAATCATTTATCTGTACTTTTTAGTTTATTTAGTCATTAAAATACAAGAATTTGGTATAAAACCGCCTGTCTGACTGCATCATTTTTAAACATTAAATTAGATGTTATGATTCCAGAGTTCTAAGTATTTTGGCATCTTTATCAAATTTGTCTTTATTCTTACCTTGGATGGTTCTGTTTTACTTTTACTTGAATATGTTATCTGGCTGCTCTGTCCACCTATTTCCCTAACATAACATTGCAGGAATGTTGTTCCACAACAAAAACAAAAAAAGAGAAGGTTTATCACATGAATGTGATCTGAGTCATTAAAATGATCAGAAATATAACTTTAAATAAAAGCACACTTACAAACTCAGAGTGAAGGTCATTGGATATGCCATGCATTCTTGCTGAGTGGTGAATGACCCGATCAAAGAGATTGGCCAGAGAAAGGAAGTGGCATCCAGTCTGGCTGTTGGTGCAGATGGACGCTGCTTTCATTCTGCTCAGCCTGCTGCAAAATGCCAGACAGACCAGCGCCACGAACAAGGGAGATACTAAGAAAGACCAAAGACAGATAGGAATAAGAATAACAACGACTGTAATAGTTATAAAACCCCAAACTAACCCCTAACTAATTAATTGATTAATTAAATATTTAAAATCTATGTAAAAAGCCTAGATTAACCTTTTTTAAGGTTTTAATTGATAACACAGTAAATGAGAAATGAGTGGACTATAATGCTCATGGATGACTGGGAAATAAGAAAAGAAAGGGGAGGTAAGCATGAAGGCATCGAGGGATGATACCTGCCTGGTCTGATGTGTGGAGCCATCCTGCCGTCTGCAGAGGAGTTTGTGCGTCTGTTGAAGAAATGCTTCGGAGCTTTCTAAAACTCCTCACTGATAATATGGCTTTTAGCCTTAAATAAAGGGGTGGAGAAGGAGGGGGGGGACGGGGGGGGAGATTGATCAGGAAGATTGTTCTTCCTTTAAGCCCAACCCTAAAACAATGAGTCATGCATTAACACAGGTTTCTATTGAATATTGTGAATAATATTGAGGGTTTTTGTGTAATTTGTTTTTAAATAATATTGCAAAAATGAGAAATCTCCTGTCCAGGGGTGATGCTGAGAAACCAGTCCATGCATTTGTTACTTCAAGGCTGGACTATTGTAATTCTTTACTATCAGGAAGTCCACAAACTGTAGTTAAAAGCCTTCAGCTGATCCAAAATGGGAGAAAGATCTTTTAGTTCTCAGGCTCCTCTCCTGTGGAACCAACTACCAGTTTTAGTCCGTGAGGCAGACACCCTGTCTACTTTTAAGGCTAGGCTTAAAACTTTCCTTTTTGATAAAGCTTCTAGTTAGAGTGGCTCAGGTTATCCTGAGCTATCTCTATAGTGATGCTGCTATAGGCTTAGACTGCTGGAGGACATAGGGACCCCTTTTTCATCATTCTGCTTCATTCTCTCTCTATTCACCCACTGTGCAGAATCTGTTAGTTCAATCTCTAACGTTCTGCTCTCTCTGCTTTTTCTCATAGTAGCTTCATCTGGTCTGTTCCTGTTTGGCTGTGACTCCATCCTGGAGAGAAATATCAGCTGTGCTGCTGCCATCAACACCTTTGTTTCTAGATGTTGGAGATCGGGCTGTTTTCCAGTGTAGTCCTGTTTATCTGACTGTGACTAACTGGACATGGGAGCTGGCTCGGAGCTAGTCTGCCTGGCTGTGTGTTTCCTGGACGGGGCCGCCTGTGGAGCTGGTTGACAGTTGCCTTTTCTATCTATGCTTCTTTTTCTATGTCTGCTTCTGTCTCCTTGAACCCCAGTCGGCCTCAGCAGATGGCCGCTCACACTGAGCCTGGTTCTGCTGGAGGTTTCTTCCTGTTCAAAGGGAGTTTTTCCTCTCCACTGTCGCTACAAGCATGCTTAGTGTGAGGGATTGCTGAAGAGTCAATGAGTCGATGCAATCAGCTGCTTTTCCTTAGATAGAAAACTTTGAATCAATCTGACTGGGTGATCTGGTGAACTGTAAAGTGCCTTGAGATGACGTGATGTGTTGTAAATTGGCGCCATAGAAATGTTTTTAGATGTATTGGAATTCTTAGGCTTTTCTTTGTTGCCCTCTTGTGTTGGTTTCCTTTTCCCTAGCTCTTTTTCCCATCAGCTTGTTAGTCCTCCCTTTGTTCAGTCAACCATAAATACTCTCCCTGTGCAGTTCCTCAGTGCTGGTTCCTCGTCTCTCCTCGTCTTTCCCTGGCTCCTCGTGTTTCTTTTTCCACTGATGTCTCCATGGTTCTGGTTTGTTTATCATTTTAAGTTGGATTGTTTAAATCCTGCCTCTGTTACCTGTGTTCATTAATTATAACTGCAAGAACCTCACCTCTGCCCCTCTGCCTCTGTATTTCGATCCTCAAACCTCCCCAAAAATGGACAAAATCACAAAATATTAATTAAGAAATTGGAGTGTTATGACATCTGGGTAGTAGTACTACTGTGGATGAAAAGTTACCTAAGCAACAAGTAATAATTTGTTTAAATGGGTGACTGACAATCATCTTGCTTGGACATTGTTTGTGGTGTCCACAAGGGGTCAGTATTGAGGCGACAATTATTGATCCTTTATATCAATAACATCTGTTTCTAAAATACTTCAATTTGTTTTGTTTGCAGACGATGCTAACATCTATTGTACAGGTGATCATTTGGATCAGACATCAACTTTGAGTTATGTCAACTTTAGATATGGTTTGATATTAACAAACTATCATGTTGTTTGGAAAAAAAACAAGTTTTGTTGTTTGGAAACTGTGAAAGTACAAATATATGTATCCTGACAGATAAGTGACTGTAAATTAAGTTGTTGGGAGTAATGATAGACAATAACATATGTTGGAGACCTCATATACGATACATTCAAACTAAAATATCCAGAAGTATTACCATTCTCAGCAAAGCTAAACATTTCCTAAATTATGCTGCACTTCATATTCTGTCTTCTGCACTCATATTACCTGAGTTACTGTGTAGAAATATGGGGCAACACCTATAAAACCTCGCTGCGACTGTTATGCACGTAACAAAAAGTGCCATCAGAATGGTTCATCTGGCAGGATTCCACGATCATACTAATTATTTACTATTTATAGAGTCCCGCCTCATCAAACTCCCAGATCTGGTAGAATTTCAAATAGCTCAGTTAAAGTATAAAGCTAGAAATAAACAAATAGCAGGAAATATTCAAAATTGTGGTGTTGAGATGTGGCACTGATGATTGGAAGTTTAAGGGGGATACACAAAGGTGTAAATGTGGATTTTGGCCTGATGTGGTTGTGTAGGATTGGCAGACTGGGGTGGTGGTCCCCCTATTTAAAAAAGGGGACTGGAGGGTGTGATCCAACTACAGAGGAATCACACTCTTAAGCCTCCCTGGTAAGGTCTATTCCGGGGTTCTGGAAAGGAGGGTCCATCAGGGAGTCGAATCTGGGTTTCAGGAGGAGCAGTGTGGTTTTCGCCCTGGCCGTGGAACAATGGATCAGCTCTACACCCTCAACAGGATTCTGGAGTGTGCATGGGAGTTTGCCCAACCAGTCTACATGTGTTTTGTGGATCTGGAGAAGGCCTTTGACTATGTCCCTCGGGGGGTCCTGTGGGGGGTATTCCAGAGTATGGAGTACCAGGCCCTTAAATAGGGGCTGTAAGGACTCTGTATGACCGGTATCAGAGCCTGGTCCGCATTGCCGGTGAGAGTTGGACTCTGCCAAGGTTGCCTTTTGTCACCGATTCTGTGGAACAAATGGACAAAATTTCTAGTCCAGCCAAGGTGTTGGATTGATCCAATTTGGTGGCTTTAGGATGACATCTCTGTTATTCGCAGATGATGTGGTTCTATTGGCTTCATCAGGGTGTGATCTACAGCTCTCACTGGAGCGGTTCACAGCTGAGTGTGAAGCAGCCAGGATGAGGATCAGTGCCTCCAAATCCGAGACCATGGTCTTGAAACAGAAAAGGGTAGAGTGTCTTCTCCAGGTTGGGGAGGATGTACTGCCCCTAGTGAAGGAATTTAATTATCTTGGGGTCTTGTTCATGAATGAGGGGAAGATGGAGCGGGAGGTCGTGGGGCGGATTGGTGCAGCATCTGCTGTGAAGCGTGCGCTGTACCGGTCTGTTGTGGTAAAGAGAGAGCTGAGCCTAAAAGCAAAGCTCCCGATTTACCGGTCAATCTACGTTTCTACCCTCATCTATGGTCATGAGCTTTGGGACCAAAAGAATGAGATCCTGGATACAAGCGGCAG